TATCTTCTGAAAGCAAAGCAGCGGAAAGACTCAGGCTAATGGGACCAGAGTTCGTAGGGGAACGTGTTGCTGCCATGGCTGGCCCTTTCACTCCTGTCTGTTCAAGCCTCTCCTTGTTCCCCTTCACCCTGCCCAGATCTCTTTTCTACCCTCATTTTACTTCTTCCCCCTCCTCTGTCTCCAACCCACTTCTCCTCCTGAACATGTTCACACATCTGTAGCCATCTCACCACCTCTCCTTTTCTCCCTCCTTTCCCTTCAATCCTGCCCCCCTCCGCACTGCCCAGCCCCTTCCAACCTCCCCCTTGCCTTTTCCTAGCCACAATTTTTTTTTGCCTTACCCCTTAAGGGGACTCTTTATTTTTTTCAAATCTCTGAACTTGGCTTGATTTCTGCAAGTGCTTATAAAGACAAAAAAAGAAGGACAATGGTCCAAACCAAACTTGAGGTTCATGGCACAAGACCACAGAGGTTCTAGAGTTTTTCACCAAAAAAAGCTGGAATAAATTTTTCAACATGGAAAATGCTACATTTTTTTCTCTACACTCAGTCTCAGGAAGAGTGGAATAGTTTTTCCTTGAAACTTTACTCAAAAAGAAAGAAAAAAAGAAAAAAGAAATAGCCTGAGGCAGACATGCAGCACGGAAAATGTTAGCCTAAATGGTTAACATATAGACAGACTTTGAGCAACTAAAGACAGGCTTTTAAGGGAAACCATTGGGCAGCCTTATCTATAGGTGCTGCTGCCTGCTGTGCCTCTAATTACACCTTTTAGCAATCCTCACCATTGCTGAACAGGGAGGAAAAAAGGTGAGGAAAGAGTTTTTCATGGGATTTTAATGCTCTGGAATACTTTAATGTATAATAATGTCTAGTGGTCACCACCTAGTCCACACAGAAAAAAAATCTCCCAGGTGCTTTTTAAGGCTTTGGATGACAAGACAACAGTGGTGGCCACTGAACGAAGTGAACTTCGTCTCTTTGCCACCTTGTAGGGGGTGGCAGAGGGTGTGGCCCGGACCTGCGCTGACCACAGGGACTCGTGCCTGGCTCCCCTCCGTGCCCCGACAGCCCTAACACATTACCATGCTTTGTGCATATGAAATAACGCGAGGATTAGGTTGTAGGGGGCAACTTGCACAGCTGGGCTGGTGGTGCAGGGGCAGCACGCAGAGACCCCCACTTTGGGGGTGCCTCCTCCCCAGTGGCAGTACCCAGTGGGGCACCTCCTCCCCATCAGGGGGATGTCAGGAGGGGAAGGTCCAAGGTCGGCAAGGGAGCCTGCATGTAACTCTGTCTGTGTGCGCACATACGTGAGCGTTGTGGGATTACAGTACAGTGTTAGAAATTTTTAGGAATTTAGTAAGATTTTGTAAACGGCTAGTGTTGTATTACCGATACTGAACATATTTGAGGACATGGTTTAGTGGTGGACTTGGCAGTGATGGGTTAACGGTTGGACTCGATGATCTTAAGGGTCTTTCCCAACCTTAACGATTCTGTGATTCTATATTGTCTACTGATTACCTTCTAATTATGTGTTGTTAATAAATTCTTAAAAATGCTTTGATGCTGATTTTGATTTACACTAGGTGAACTGAGAGGTTTTTATCCTGCAAAAACCATCAGTCTGACAGAAGGGTGCTTTTGTAGCACGATACCCCTGTCTCCCGTTGCCCCCCTTGGGGCATAGCACATAGCACAGGACCTGAGGGGATGCTGCCAGCACCTCGTATATACAAGAGCTAATTCTCTGCAAACCCATCTGGTTTTCAATGCTTCAGAAAGGGTTTGATTTAATGGGAAACCTTGCAAGTAAAAAAATAGGAGAGAGGAGGCAGGACAGAGAGCAGAAATGAGCAGCACATTGGGAGGCAGAAAAGGAGATTTGAGACTCTCCTGCAGGAAGGTGCGATGAAGAACGCCAGGATGAACGACGCCACGGAGAAGGATGCGCAGCAGCAGAGGAGGACATGACAGTAGGGGTTAGAAATATTAACAGATAAGGAGGGAGAGACGAAGCTGAGCTACTGAAACTGGCACTCAAAGAACAGTCAGCAAGATGGGAAGGACTAGAAAAAACAGAAAAATAGAAAAAGAGGGGGAAACAGAAGAGGAGGTAGTGATTTCTTGCACTGGAGGGAAGAGAGAATTCCAACAGAACATGAAGAAAAAAGTATTTGCTTGAACTGCCTAGAAAAGCAGCTGCCCGGGAGGACAGTTTTGACTGAGAAAGAGGGAGGTGGACTGCATGGTTCCTGGGAAGCGTCAGGGGAAGCAGAAAGCCACCCGAGCAAAACGCCTGAAGGCAGGATTAGAGGGATGGTGGTGGCCTGAGAAGGCTTTGCATTAAAATTAAAAATGAAATGGTTCTAGTCAAGCATGGAAGGAAAAGGAAAATTCAACATGAGGAAAATAAAACTGGGAATAACACGGAAAAAAACCTTTCTCTATATCCTGTTTCTTGCATTTTTCCTCTAAGTACATGTATCTAGAAAACCAGGAGAGGTCTGAACTTAAGTCTAATGTAATTTTCATTAATTTTAGCATTGAAAGTATCTGTTCGGGGTGCTTAAGTCTTATTCGAGTGAAAAGGACTTCGATACAGGCTAACGTAAAATATAACTTCAAGTGCTTCCCAGCCACACCCCTGGATCATCAACATGGTCTCTGATTTAGCCCTAAAGCAGCAACGACAGAGGGATTATGGGACAAATGCTGCCAGTGCTATCTGCAGATTGACTTTGTTTCAGCATGCTGATTTTTTTGTTTCTGAAAATGATCAATAGCCATGTAAAAGTTGAAAGTAGTGACTCTAGATGATACTGAAACGGCATTTCTCCTTCAGCTGGTAGAGGATTAGCAACCAATTCAGCCTGACAGCAATGTCCTGTTGGCATCTGTGCACATTTATTTCTTGTTTTCAGCACGAAAGCTGACCACTGAAGGGAGGTTAGTCTATGCACATATGAAATTTATTTAATCAGTTAATTTATGCAACATCATTGCATTGTATTATTTATATTGTTTTATATTAAAGAAAGAAAAACACTCCAGTGAAAGCTGACAAAAGAAGACTACCTAGAGTGGACTGTTGCCCATTATTCTTTTATTATATTTATTCAAATGAATCTGAACATTTATATCAAAAGAATTAGTGATAGCAAAATGGGTACAACTGATTAGGAAAAAAAAATTAAAGAACGCTTAATCCTTTCTTTTTCTTTAGCTGTACATTAATAAGTGCTGCAGGGCTGGTTAATGGTCTCTGCCAATAATAGCACAAAGGCAATATTGTCAGGGTAGCTCAGGAGGCCTGGAGCTCGTGGGCTGAAATCCCTATGGCACATTAAATTCTGGAATTTTGTTGATGAAACTGGAGTAGCAAAGTTTCAGTTTTACAAGATCGCGAGGTGCTTCCTATAGAGGAGACTACTACCAGAGCCAACTAGCACCTTTGCAAAGAAAAGAAACAGGAAAAATTCTGGATGAGCTCAAGGTCAGGTGCGGCTCAAAGCTCCAAAATCAAAATACAGACTAAAACTTTCCTTTTTCTTTTTTTCCCGACAACATGGTGAAAAGTTCTGCTTTCATTCATCATTTCTTGACATAACGGCACAAAGACCTAAAATTACATCACTACATCACAGTATGAAGTGCAATAAAACTTCTTAAACCGTCATTTTGAGGCTTAAAACAAAACCCAGATCAGCTGTGAGCTCATTTGCTATGTCCAAGCCTGTTGAGAGGGCACAGTCCACACTCGGGTACTGAGGAAATGGGAGGAGAACCAAAGATTTATGGACAACAGGATGCTACTAAACATCAGAATGACCCATCACAGTAGTCCTGTAGAATAATACACAGTCACCAGTATATCAAAAACAGACATGAGAGTTGAAGAAAAATGGTCTTTTAGTTGTAGAGACCTGTTCATTATACAATTAGGTACACAAGAGATGTTATAAAATGTATTACTAAATGCCCTGTAGTCTCATAAGCCCTAAAGTAAGGTTATCTGTCAGTACCCTCCCTTTCTGCCTCAAGCAATACCTAATTTCAGGGGAGAATTAGCCGTATTTTATTCACTCACATGCGATGAACCTTGAAATGAGTCTCTCATTCCCTTCCTCACGTTCCCATCTCTGTCACTAATGCATTCTTTACAAAGCTATGCTTTTCAAAGTATCTGGGCACATCTGTTTTCTCTTTTCTTCCTCCACCCATCATGTCACCATCTCTAACAAGTTTTTGCTCCCTCAGTAACTGTTATGTTCTCATTTTTTCTTGCTCTCCAGCTCCCCTTTCTGTGTTCTTTGGACACCTCTCCAAGAGTGTATCTGTCCTTCTGGCATGTGCTTTCTTCCTCCCTTCACACCTCCATGTGCCTCTCGGGTCCTGTGTCTGCAAAACTCATTCCCAACATATACACTCCATGTGGCTTCCTTCCCTTCCGCTGTTTAATCTGGAAGAAGAAACCTAACTCAAAGTATTGCACTGCCACTCCTTGAGCTTAACAGAACGTACCTCTCCGCATCTGCTACCACTCTTTGCTCCAAAAGCCTTTCCTTCTCACATTCCTACAGCCCAACGATTGCTTTCTCTTTGTATGGAAACAATGTCTCTGACATTCTTTCCCTTGCCAAATCTGTATCACCTGGTGAGTTTTCCATGTTCATCTATGATGTGTTATATATTGTCATTATTCCGTTGCCCTTTTTCTTCAGCTTCCGGGGAGGATTTATTCCTCTTAGGACAAAACTTGCCAGGAGTTGTCTGAGCATCTAACACCTCTGCTGACCTCAATCACTTTAAGAATACTTATTTATTTCAAAGACCATCTGGGATAAGACTTTTAAAGGTTCCTCCCGATAGTGTAAGTTATGTGTCTCTTCAGCAATCCACCCCGTAAGTTTGTAAGCTAACAGTTTTATAACTTTGTTACATTTTTCCTCATACAAGAGCAATTTTAGAGATGCACAAAACTGGTTCCACCTTACCTTTGACGTGGCTTCTCCCATCCTCCAACAGTGGTACTACTATAGTGTTGTTCATATTCCCAGGTGATCTCACAGCTGTATAGACAACAGGTACCGACTGTACCACCACGGGGATACGGTGCACGTGACTCATTTTGTTGGACTGCAAGTTCATGGGGCTTGAAGGTGGTACTGGATGGATAATGTGCAAAAACTGCTGGCCTCCAACACCAGACGCAGAGGCCACAAGAGGACCTGGAGTTAATACTGATGGTACAGATGCTGCTGAGGATACCGATGTTATTACTGTGGGTGATGAAGCTGGCCGACTAGAAGAAGAAGAAGTAGAAGTAGAAGAAGGGGAGGAGGCTGATGCTGTCATGGAAACTGGTGAAGATGAAGCTGTTGTAGGGGATGACCTGGCTTTGTTTATTGACAAGTCCACTGGTTCAGTCTGTGTTTGGAAATGGTCTGTAGATAATGAATCCTCCACGGGGTCTGCCTTCATGTTGTTTAGTAACAAGGGTACAGCTTCCATATCTGGGTAGTTGTGGACGTTTGGAGACTGCTGAGGAAGGACAAAGGGACATAGTTACATATGTGGCTGAAGATGACCTGCACACCAAATTGCTAACACACATCACACAACTTGGTCATGAAAGCCACAGGATTTGTTTCCTTTTCTTGTGTCAGTTCATAATTTTAAAGGCCAAATCATGCTAGAAAGCACAGACATGTTCAGTTTGAACAGAATATTAAAAAAAAGTTCTACTCCCATTTCTTAGAAGGTGGCAGGATTAACTCTACAAAATCATCCTGTTTCTTTTCACTATGCAAAGTCATCAGTGACAAAAATTTTACGATTTCCACAGGTAGCCACTATTTATATTCACAGGACATTTCTTCCCAACATCTAACTTGAAGCGACAGCATTACTCTCTTGTGTCATATGCAACAGACATGAAGAAAAACTGGTCACCACCATTTTTCAAACAACTTTCTGCATGCTTGAAGACTGTAATTTCCCCTTACTTGTCTACCTTCTTCTAGACTAGGCAGATCTTGCTTCTTCTTTCTGTCATGTCACCTTTAAAAGAACAAGCCTTACCACTCTTGTTTGCTCTTTGCAGCGATCTTTGTAGTTTTGTCCACATCGCTTTTCAGAAGGCAGTGCCTTACGCTGAACACAGTCCTTCAGTTCAATGTTTGATTTTTTGCATTCTGCATAGTTACCGATAATGAACTTACAGGTCAGTACAGAGCCCCACGTTTGTATGGTTGTTCTGTTACAGGCAGCAGTGGCTACAGCGATTCATTATTCTGAATTAGCACATTAGATAGCCTTCCCCATTGTTATAATTTTTTTTTATTTTTCCATACTAATTAAGAACAATTTTTCTGACTTCGCAAAATAATTTTATGCTTTAGACCAACTCTTTCAAAGCTGGTTGGTCTAAATTTATTCTAGACTGGTGCCGTCTGCTATTTTTATAGTCTTATTCCTTATTTCCATCATCAAAGAGGTTAATAGAATTTTTGAATAATGCTAGGCCAAAGATAGATCCCTGGAGAAGCTCATTTGATATATCTTTCCTTTTTGACAGTACATCATTAATAACTACTCTTTAAAAATGTTTTTTCAAGTAATTTTCAATAGGCAGAGCAAGGAAGGAAATGCCCATCGATAACCTGGTACTAAGACAAAGCACAGCTCTCGGCTCCTCAGCTAAGTACCACCATGGCACTGCACTGCAGCAGAGCTTCTTTACAGGCACACACACGCTGTTATGTGCTGTAGTATGGAAAACCAACCTCAGTAAAAGACATTTGGCAAGCTACTTCAAAACTCACTTGACCCAAAGCAATTATTCCATATACAGATTTAACAAGCAATCTTTTTATGGTACCTAAGCAGCTCTAAATTCATTCTCTCGATCTCTAGATTATAGTATTTACTAAGTATCTAAAAATATTAAGTCAGAAATATTTAAGCCACAAGTATTTTTGTTCATCTACTCTAAATAAGCTAACAATCAAGCAAGCTGTGAATTCACTTTGGGATTTTTATAATCAACTATGTTAAATATTTTCATGGAGAACCCTCCTGGTTTTGAGTCAGAGCCAAATTCCATCACAGAATGGAGTTCTATTGCAAAGGGAAAATAGAAACACTAATATTAAAAATTGTAATAATAACAGCCTAAGTGGATATTATCCCTGGCATGCTGAAAGATGAGATGTTCTAGCAGATCCCATCTATTCAGCTGATTTAGACTGGTTCTTGGATCTGACATTTTCCCCTATTTGAAAGCAAGGACATCTCTGGAACAGTGAGTCTCCTCCTCTATTCATACACAAATTAACTTAAAACAAAGGGACCCCGATTCATCCAGCCCCTGGACACTGCTGTTCTGCTGTAATACAAATAACAAAAGAAAAAATCCCTTTATGAAGACAATGGGAAGTTCTCCTGCTAAAAAAGAAGACAAAGTGAGGAACAGGTCACTTTTTGAAGTGCATAACAAGCTACGAGTGACAAGGTTAGGAAACCCTCTTCCTCAAGAAGGCAAACACACCTGTAATTGCCCAGTGATGATTCCTGGTAACTTCCTCCAAAACACCTTATCCAGGCTATTGTCAGTAATGAGATGCTGCATTAGGCATACCGTATGTACCATGATAAAGACAAAACCATAAACATACGTGGCACAAGCAGTTCATTTGTCAAATCCTACCAAGTCTCATACATGCAATGGGCAGACAGACTGGTTCTGCTGAACTAAACAGACTGGTGGTAGAGTGAAGGCAAGGCGGAGAGGGACACCCTGCACAGGCTATACCCAAACCTTCATAAGGCCAAAGGCAACACCTTCTACCTTAAATGTTTGAGAGAAGGGGGATAAATGGAATCAACTCACGTACAAGGGAGATGAGGGATCCCCTTGTGCCCATGGCTGGACAAGGGTCATCTAGAAGCAGTACGAATCACCAGCTCCATCCACAGGGCACATAAATGTGCCATGGAATAAATCCTACATGTTGACATACTTCCAGGCTTCCCCTGGGCGCCAGAGGCAGATTTCAGGTTGACCCAATGCCGCCTGCCTCAGCAGCACAACTTGTTACTCTCTGAGCTGAAGGATGGATCACCCTGCCACTGCTGTCCTCCCTTGCTCCTCAGAGCACCCTGGAGTGCTCCGAGGGCACCGGGGACTTGATGTACCCAGTGTATGCATGTCAGACTGCTCCCAGGAGTCTTCTGACTTATGGGATACTTCTCAGACTGCACACAAGGGATCCACACGGACCTCGAAAGCAGTTCATCACCAAAAAGAGCACAGTCCGCCCTGAAGTCCCACCTGCCTTTGCAGCAAGCAGCATCAGGTCCCTTACAGGAAAAGTAAGGAAGAACCCCAAACCCTTATGTAGCTGATGCTACACAAAGTACTTGTTCCATGGACAGAGTCAATTATCTTTGAGACAAAGCACAGGTCATGACTTACAGATTTTTCTAGATTGTGCTAACAGGCCTTTGTTTTACTACAGTAATTACATCTAATCTTTTGGGAATTTAAAAAAAAAGGGGGGGGAAGTATCATACATATATGCAGTCTATCAAAGCACAGGTCATGACTTACAGATTTTTCTAGATTGTGCTAACAGGCCTTTGTTTTACTACAGTAATTAATCTAATCTTTTGGGAATTTAAAAAAAAAAGGGGGGGGAAGTATCATACATATATGCAGTCTATCATACAAATCACTTTCTCTTTTAATAGCTCTTCTGAATTTACTTTTGTACTGTACATTCCTTATATTGCATCTACCCTTCGGTAGAGGTACCATCTTCTTGTCCAGAGCTGCTAGAGGGGCCATGCAGTCTCTATGTACTACAGTAATACAGTTGATATTATTATTTCAGTCTTCAGTACTGAAACCAAACTCAAAACTTTAAAATCCCTTCATGAATTTCTCCAAACAGGATGAAAACTGGTATGCTCTTCAATGAGCTCCTCTCCCTTCCAAAACTCTAAGAATGCCCTTTCTTTGGTAAATTCAGGCTGTGACTGATGTCAGTTGACATTACAAAAGACAGCAGGATCCTTATCAAAACAGGTTTGTACATCCTGTACTTAAGATAAAAATTGTAAACAAGTGTTATACTTTGTTCTGGTGGTGGTGAACAAGAGATCTACCCCAACAACTCACGCTCCCTCACAGTAACCTATGAGTGGTATAGACGTTCCTCCATGATCTCAGATTTTATCTAAACTGCCAAAGCTCTACTTAAACTGTATTTGAATCAAAACTTTGAACATTACATTATCATTATTTTCTGAAAACGGATGGTATATGCAAACCTTTCCCAACGATGACTATTCCACAATTAGGAACTATGTAACGAAGAGCAGCAATGAAGCCAAAAGGGATGGCTGAATTCTCAGCACACTATTCCTTAGCATCTCCCCAGAATGTTATTAACCAAGAATTAACTGTTCATTTCCCTAGACGATGACTGTTGCCGCTAGTTTTATTTAACGGAACCACATCTTTTCTAATTGAGAGGATCACAACACTATGGCTGGTATATTCAGAGGTATACCTTCAGCCATTCTGTCAGCTCATAAAGTCAATTGGATGAAAAACAAATGCTTGTTTTTTCTCCTGTCTCTCTATTCCTGCTTTTCCATCCTCACCTAGTAAACTGGGCTTCTTGTGCTGGTGTGGGCTCAGACGATTGCTAGTTTGGGCATCTGAAACAGGTTTTCCCCATCTGGCTCCCAAAAGTGTCTGCGTTGGTTTTGCAAACTTCATTTTGGTTTTAGGGGTCTAAATGCTGTTGAGAGTTTGGCAGCTTCCAGAGCATTTGGTGGGTTAGAAAGGGTTCAGCCCAAGGTCCCTGTAACCCAGTGGGCTGCCTTGGACGCCAGCCCAGACCACAGGAATACAACATGAGGGGGTACAGCTCCACGCAGCTTCCCTCATCTCACTGCTTCTGCCCGCTGGTACGAAGGAGAGGGACAGCTTCAGCCCTGCCTCCAGCTGGGACTCGGAGGTAAATCTCAGCAATGCCTCTCTCTGCAACACTGCCATCACATCCTTATGCTGTTCACCATCCACTCAAATCCAGGCTGAAGCAGAACTGGAAAGCAGGTTAGGACGGCTCCCTGCTAGAAAAGGCTTTTTAATAAAGCTGCAGCCTCTGCTAGTCCGTGCTCTTGGCTCATGCTTTTTGTGCCTGCCCTTTAAAGCTGTACACCAATATTCTCTGCAGTGCTCTGTTTCATTAGCTTGCCATTAATAAACACCGCCAGGAACATAACACGTGATTTCCCTATTCACAAAGCTTTTTTTGGCTGTATAAAAAAGCATTCCTTACTGCCTGTTTCCCCAACCACTATGGAAAAAACAACCAGCCAGCCACACAACCAGCCACAAGACCCTGAGTGAAGCATGGTGAAGTTATGGCTGATAACGTGTTATCTGCTGGATGGCCATCCTTTCCTGCACAGTTCTACTCGACCTTCCTTCCAGCCTCCTGAACTCCACCTCCTCTTAACTTACT